CTGAGTGCTTGCAAAAATAAGGAAAGAATGAAATGAAACGAATTCATAAGTATACAAAATGGGTAAGTAGCAGATAAGTTGAACTCCATGGGAAGGGAGCAGGCCCAAGAGTTCACCTCCAGTTGCTTATAGGAAGCCCAGATGCAGGACATGAAATCAAAACATTTTTCATTTCATTTCCCTGCAGAAACGGGTGGTATTCAGAATAGAAATTGCTCGACTCTGAATTTGGCGGTTCTGTTTTATTAGCTTAACAGAGGCAAATTGAAAAAGTGCAAGCCCTGTTTTCCACAGAGCAATCAAGGGAGGAGAAGAACACTAAGCTGCTTTCATCCTCCAGCAGATCGGAGGGGGAGGCAGGTGTCTGTCTGCTGAGTGGTATGCAGCATATCCTTTAATTCATTTCAATTGCCTTTTGCTTCGCACAATCAGAGTAGTTGAAAGGTAATATTTTGTGGGCCATTAACTGATAAACAGTTGGGATTGCCAACTTCTTTTTTCACTGGCTCCTGGACCTTCCAGAGCAGCTTGTTCTACAAACACAACTGCCGTGCTTTAAAAATTTAATCTGCTGATTCCCACATATCAAGCAGCTGTTAAAGGCACGAAGCAGGCCAAACCTTTATTTTTGTGGTCAGTTAACAGCTTCGTAAAGAGATGCCGTAGCCAGTGAAATTGAGCACAGCCTGTAGAGAGCACTTGGTATTGGTCGCTAGCGTTCGTTCAGGGCTACCTTGGAAGGATGAGCCCATCCCACTGAAGTGAGTGCCAACTTCAGCGAGTCCGTTTGTTTGGCCAGTCGTGACTCACGTAACAGTGCTGCCAAGTCACATACAAGGAATAAGTACCTGAAGGTCAACTCCCTCAAAAGTGACTCCTTTCAAAAGAGTCCAAAGCAGGACAGAATTGATTTGCACTTTTTCATTTCTTTGATTAATATCCTAGTGAGGAGGGGGCCTTCAGCAAAGACACCTGTTGTTGGTTGAATGTAGTGTTTAATGAACTGACCATGTCAAGCCATGGTATGAAGCAAGCTAAATCATGGGCTGGCTTTAATTCATTTGCCTCCATAGACAGAACCTTGAAACTGAGAACAGAGAAAAACAGTACATTCAGACCACTGTTCCTTGCCAGAGGAAATCTCCTTCCTCCAAGACTACATGCCTTGTAGTTACAGCTGCTGTTTTCTTCTGCTACATGCCAGATAAATAAAAGTCCTCAGGTGTGCTTCCAGTGATGCTGGGACACTTAGTATGGGCTTTCTCCATATTGTAATGTAATATTGCAGGCACACTGGGACAATTTTGTTCCTACTCATGCCACAAAGGCCACCATAAGGACCATCTCCATAACCTTTTCCATCACTGGGATCAGGAAGAGCCCTTCTGCATATCCCACCACCATTTGATAGAAACCTTCTTCAGGGAGAACCTCCTCAAATATAGAATTTACAAAAGAGTTGTGTCACAGACAACCTTCTACAACCATAATGGTGCTTTTTTTTCTTTGCCCATCTCTATTATTTTAGTCTGTTCATTGTTTTATGATTCTTGGATTGATTTTATCACCTATCGTTATAGAGATGGATAGATACAGATTTATCTTCCAAATGATATAACTTATTTTGGGTGAACATCCATGAATAAAGAAATTTCTTTTCTTGGAACCAACAGGTATCACCGGCAAAAATATAATGTGATAGTTTAGATAATGTAGACTGAAGCTAACATTTGTGTGTGGGGAAAGTTTGGGAAGTTTGATGGAAATTGACAGATACTCATGGAAACTGGTCAACATATTCTTCCTAGAGCATAATAATGATAGGCAGACTTTATTTCCTGCTATTGAGTACATATATGAATTTCCATGTCCCTCTTGCTTTAACCACCTGTACTACTGAGCCTGGTTGCCACCTATATTACTGAACTACAGCAGGGATGTGGGATCTTTTCCCTGTTGAATCAGCATTACCTCAGTGGGCTTCATTGGCTAGCAAAAGGTAGCCCAGAGCCAGATCTGCACCTATTTTGTAATGTGGACTGAGGGCCACATCAAGTGAGGCTGAGATCATCAAGCAGCTCCGCAGGGCCTTGTTTCCCCATCTCTGTCTTACAGGAATCTCTGACACAAGCACTTCTTGGTACATTCAGATTCTTGCATCTTGTTGTTGTTAGTCACGAAGTCATGTCCGACCCATCACAACCCCATGGACAACATTCCTCCAGGCCTTCCTGTCCTCCACCATCCCCTGGAGTCCACTCAAGCTCACACCAACTGCTTCAGTGGCTCCATCTAGCCACCGCATCCTCTGCTGTCCCCTTCTTCTTTTGCCATCTATTGTTCCCAGCATTAGGCTCTTCTCCAGGGCGTCCTTTCTTCTCATTAGGTGGCCAAAGTATTTGAGTTTCATCTTCAGGATCTGGCCTTCTAAAGAGCAGTCAGGGTTGATCTCCTCTAGGATTGACCGGTTTGATCGCCTTGCAGTCCAAGGGACTTGCAGGAGTCTCCTCCAGCACCACAATTCAAAGGCCTCAGTTCTTCGACGCTCAGCCTTCCTTATGGTCCAACTTTCACAGCCATACATTGCAACTGGGAAAACCATAGCCTTGACTATACACACTTTTGTTGGCAGGGTGATGTCTCTGCTTTTTAGTATGCTGTCTCGATTTGCCATAGCTTTCCTCCCAGGAGCAAGCGTCTTTTAATTTCTTGACTGCAGTCCCCATCTGCAGTGATCTTGGAGCCCAGGAAAATAAATCTGTCACTACCTCCATTTCTTCCCCATCTATTTGCCAGGAAGTGGGAGGACCGGATGCCATGATATTAGTTTTCTTAATGTTGAGTTTCAAACCAACCTTTGCACTCTCCTCCTTCACCCGCATCAAGAGGCTCTTTAGTTCCTCTTCACTTTCTGCCATTAGAGTGGTATCATCTGCATATCTGAGGTTGTTGATATTTCTCTGGCAATCTTAATTCCAACTGGTGATTCATCTAGCCCCGCCTTTCTCATGATGTGCTTTGCGTATAAGTTGAATAGGCAGGGCGACAGTATACAGCCTTGCCGAACTCCTTTCTCAATTTTGAACCAATCAGTGGTTCCGTGCCCAGTTCTCACTGTTGCTTCTTGACCCGCATATAGGTTTCTCAAGAGACAAATAAGATGGTCTGGTACTCCCATCTCTTTAAGAACTTGCCACAATTTGTTGTGATCCACACAATCAAAGGCTTTAGCATAGTCAATGAAGCAGAAGTAGATGTTTTTCTGGAACTCCCTAGCTTTCTCCATGATCCAGTGTATGTTGGCAATTTGATCTCTGGTTCCTCTGCCTCTTCGAAATCCTGCCTGTACTTCTGGTAGTTCTCGGTCCACATACTGCTGGAGCCTAGCTTGTAGGATTTTGAGCATAACTTTGCTAGCATGTGAAATGAGTGCAATGGTGCAGTAGTTTGAACATTCTTTGGCATTGCCCTTCTTTGGGATCGGAATGTAAACTGACCTTTTCCAATCCTGTGGCCACTGTTGAGTTTTCCACTGTTGAGTTTTGGGATGGTTTTAGTCGCTACCTCTTGTACAATGTTGCGAACCTCCGTCCATAGTTCTTCAGGCACTCTGTCTATCAGATCTAATTCCTTAAATCTATTTGTCACCTCTACTGTATTATATTCATCAGGGATATGATTTAGGTCATACCTGAGTGACCTAGTGCTTTTCCCTACTTTCTTCAATTTAAGCCTAAATTTTGCAATAAGAAGCTCATGATCTGAGCCACAGTCAGCTCCTGGTCTGGTTTTTACTGACTGTATCGAGCTTCTCCATCTTTGGCTGCAGAGCACATAGTCAATCTGATTTCTGGGTTGACCGTCTGGTGATGTCCATGTGTAGAGTCGTCTCTTGGGTTGTTGGAAAACAGTGTTTGCTATGACCATTGTGTTCTCCTGCATGGCATAGCTCATAGCTTCATTGAGCTACGCAAGCCCCTTCGCCACGACAAGGCAGTGATCCATGAAGGAGCCATGGATCTTGCATCTAGCATGGTACCATTTGAATGAAATGGGTCATTTCCATGAGATGTACTTATGTAGCCCTGCTTTAGTATATCTGTCCAGCTGAGACGGATGACCTCTACCTCCTATAATTGTATTAATCCTACCAAAGGAGTGGTTTCAAATTCTGCCCCGTTATCTGCATCCTGGAACAACATGCAAGCAAGTCTTTCAACTCATCACCAGTTTCCACAAAATGAGTCCTGTTTATACTCAGCCCTTCCCTCTGGAATCTCACCTGCTTCTTCCTGTTGTATGCAACTTTGGTCTCTCCATTATAACACTGCACTTCCGTCTGTTGCCCTTGTATCTGGTGAAACTCATTTCCCTTCACAGCAGTGTAAACATTTTGTTCAAAAACCTATCCCCAGATGAACATTTCCTAAATTTTAAGGGCCTCTTCTTTTTAACAAAAAGTTTACACTTGCCTTTTTATTTGAGATCTGACAAATGAAGTGTGTCTGTGTGTAGGGGAATAAGTAGCATTTCATCAAGGCTGCATAGATGAGGACAACTGCAGGGGAGTTTTCCACACGAGAATTTTATCTGACTATCACCCCACCTCAGTCCCGGAATTTCATAGGGATCATATGTCTTGCTCTTCCTTCATGTGTTTTCTCACTGCTTCTTCCCGTATTTTTCTTACTTGGGAAAAAAGTTCCTCAGGGAGGAAATAATGGACTAAATACACAAGTAGTGCTAGAAGTCCCCTCTCTGAAAGCATCCAGGCACCAACAGGCACAGAGAACTATTAATGGGCAGTATAGAACATTCTTTCAGTGTTGTTTTTATTTGTCCTGCTTTGCTTCTCTTAAAGCTGGCGATGAAATTGCTGGAGTCTGTCCCAGAACCCGCAGAAGTCAATGGACGATCATAAGCTGTGAATGTTCTTTATCCTTACGGTCAAGATTGCAGCAGATGGTGACATCATTGTTGCACCTTTTTCTATTCTCTAGTCCCCCCAATGGTGGAGCCTGTTTCCCAAGATATCCGGCAAGCCGTGGGACGCAGTGTCACCCTTCGCTGCACCATGCTAAAGGGCAGTCCAATGAAGGTGGCGACAGCAGTCTGGCGATTCAATGGAAGTCTTTTAACTGTGCCCCCAACAGAGCAGCAGGACTACTCGGAGTATAAGGTGGACAGCCTGAGCCGGGAGACTAGCGGCAACTATGAATGTAGCATCTCCAATGATGTTGGGGTAGCAACCTGCCTCTTCCAAGTATCTGGTAAGTCCTTCCAAGAGCATCCATCTTCTTTTCTTGTTAGGAGATGTCCCCATGAACAGAGTTGACTTATAAATAGTATACTAATAAGGCTGGAGCCAGAACTCCCAAGGCTGAAACTCTACCTGTGGGATTCTCCCACTGGAAGTAGGAAAGACACAATTTGTGTCCCCTGAAAAGCTGCTTAGGAATGTTGCAGCAGTGGAAGGTGGAATGGGCAAAAACCTTCCTTCCTTCCAGTGGGAACCTCTGCTGCATCATTCTCCTTTCTGTGGAAAGAGGAGCCTTTCTGTTCACTGAATGGCAAGTTTGGATCAAAGCCAGAGTTGATAAAAGCAAGATGTCAGTTGCGGTCTATAAGAGGCCTATTACTGCAATTCAGCCTCTTCATGCTCTGCTATATCACACTCCTTCCCATGTTGTGATTGTTAGCTCAGACACAACATTGTGACTACTGGGAAATGGGGAATTTGCCACCGAAATCAACAGAATCCTATAGAGAACCATTTCACCCAAACAACTTCCCACCTGTGCAGCTTCCATACAGTTCCAACTACCATACAGTCCCAGGTCCTTAAATCTGCTCCTGTTCATATTTGGTCATTGTTTCCTCCTGTGCTTTATCCCTTTTTCAAGACAAACAAAGGTGTCACAATCCATACTGAGCCTTTCATTTCTATGCTGCTTGGGTTTCCCGGTCTTCAGCAAACTAACAAACCCTGATTGCTGTGCTGCTGAATAAGCCGCAGAAATTTAGCAGTGCGGCAGGGAGAGAGCAGCAGAAATTTGGCAGCATGAACATCTGAAGAGGGCTGTGTAGACATCTTCAGCTGAATGTGCTTCCAGAATTCCCACAGCTGCAAGCTCTGCCATATCAAGTTTTCTGTTCATGAGCCCTCTTTGGCATTCAGAAAGGCCTAACCAGAAGCTGGGGTGGAGGGTGGGGGTTATGTGCATGTCTACAGCCCCCTCCACAGCTTCGTCCTCCATGCAAGCAAGCAAATGCCTACACAGGGATCTTGACTATCTATGTATTTTGTGCCCTTGAACATGACCTGAACTGTGCCCCTGGTATTCCCCACTCCATGCTATTTGGCTAATAGTTGTGAAGACTCTTTGTTAGATACCACTTGCTGGGAAGCATAGTCAGGATTCTGCTATTGAGCACAAGTCCTGTATGTGGACTTCCCTGGTTGACCTCCCTGGAAACACAGTACTGAGTTGGATAGACCTTTGGTCAGAACAGGGCTCCACTAATGTCCTTAATACACAAACCAAATATGCTAATCACGCCCAACATCCACGGATGGCTATTGCTGTTTTCCCACTGCTGCAATCCTTTTGGCCTCCATTTTAGCATCTTCCTCCTCAAATACTGTTGGGCAATGCATGTAGATTGGGCACAAGAGTGGTCCTCTGATTCTTTCTGTGCCCCCAAATGGCTACAAAAACCTTCCGCAGCTGATTTAAATGAACCGGAAGAAAATTATAAAGGATCCAATGTACCGTATTTTTTGCTCAAAAGTAAGGGGAAATGTCTGTGCGTCTTATAGAGCGAATATGTGAGTGCAGTAAGTCTGTCAGATGTGCAGCCCATGGGGAAGTGATGGGGAATGTGCCTGTGATTATGTCCCCATTTGATTTAGAATATTTTTTTCTTGTTTTCCTCCTCTAAAAACTAGGTGCGTCTTATGGTCAGGTGCGTCTTATAGAGCGAAAAATACGGCACTTGATTATTAAACCACTGGAGATGAGATCTTCCATCTTGGGAATCAATTAATAAAAATGGATATTACCCTAGATGATGATTATTATCTGTTCTGATTTTATTTCCAAATTTGTAATGAAACTTGACTTCACAGTCAATACAAGTTGAATAAGTGACAATTAGTCTCCAAGGTGGCTCTGAATCTCTGGCATGCACAAAAATTTAGGTCAATAAAAATAATAAGAAAAGGGGAATCAGAAGTAAACATCAATATCACCATTCTAAGCTAATAAAAATAAGCACTGAATCATTTCCATTTAATTATAGCAATGAAGAATGGTGGAGCTTGTAAATGGGGTGCGATGAAGTAGGATGGAAAGCAGAATGCCCATGAAGTACATTGGAAGTCTTGAACACTTCCCAGTTATATGATGGCTGTGACCTTTGGGTAGCAAATGAGACCAGTGTCTGACTACAGAAATCTGTTGATGGAAATATTTCACTGTGGAGATGTTCCATGGAAATTTGGATCTAAAGATGTCTTCATTATGTGCAATGAATGTCTTCAGATTCAATGATAGTTAAATATTTAAGACTACATCTTTTTGCTTCTCATTTCTGAGATGATTAATTTTAATGTTGCCTATATTACTGAAGGCTGTTGTTTTGTACATGAACTGTGTAATTCAGTCTACCTTTGTTGTTTTCCCTAGAATCATAGGTTTGTGTACAGATCTCTGATTAGCTTGAATCACCAAACCCAAACCAACCTGAAAACATTGATTCAGATTAACACTAATCTAAAGAAATCCATGGTATCAAAGCATAGGTAATGTTTGCTGAGAATGATGGGAGTTGTTGTCCACTGGAGGATGCCAGGTAGCAGAAGGCTTCCCTGTTCTACTAGTGCATCACATGGTCTTCTTCTAAATTTTTGAAAAATAGCACAGGGCATGTGCTCACCACCTCATGCTATGAGAGCAGGTTCTGCTTAAGTACTCGCTTATGGCATTTAGGCATTTCTTATCACACCGGAGCATGGGTGGCTAACCTTTTCTGCAAGTGCGGCATAAATCGAGTCCAAAAAGTACAGCTTTAGTGCAAACCACTGTGAACACTGAAGTGGTTTTGCCTCCATTGAACTGAGGATCAGGGCAACAGTGCCCTTCAAGCTACATAGTCCAAAGCATAGAAAGCAAAACAGACATTATTTTAAATCCATATGGTTCATTTGTCTGCTTTGCGTTGCGTTGCGTTGTGTTGTGTTCCAGTTTTACTCTAAGTGTAGAAGTCCAGTTCAGATTGGAACGCTAGCATAGGAGATAGGGCGGCTTAGAGGGGCTTGGGTCTCACGCCTGTTGTAGAGTAAATTGGGATGCAATGCACGGCTGCTAGAATTATAGATTTAAATTAATGTCTGTTTTGATTCTACCCTTGACCATACGCCAGAGCCAAAGCCTCAGGCCCCTTTGTCCAAAAATCCAGAAATGCAAGTCGACTGCTCCATTCATGGCTAGGGATGCATGACACTTAAAAGTTTGTTCCATTTTAACTCAGCAGTTTTTGTTGCATTGCCAACCTAATAGCCGAAAGTGGGCTGAGTTGAGAGGGGGCTTGGAATATTCGCACAAATTTAGAGCCAAGAACTGTATATCTGTAGTGCAGTATGCAAAGTGGAGGCCCAAATTTTCCTGGCACTTAAAAAAAATGCAAATTACAGCCCGTATTAAAAACAGAAGTCTGTGTGCTGGCTCAAACTGCATCACATGGAGTTGGTACCAACACAGAGTTGGCAGAAAAACCTGCAGGGACATATTGAGCAAATCTTTGTATTTCTCCCCCACAATCAAATCCTCATGCATCCCTATTGGTGGCACTTGTGCTACAGCTGGTCACTAATGCATTACTCATTCCAGAATTGGACTTGGGGAACAATTCTGGATAAGGTTTTAGGATATGAATGACTTGCTAATATGCATCATATACCCAAAAGTTTGATTCATATTTCCACGCAGGCAGTTTCTGCTGCTTGCCTGCTGGAGTGCCCTCACAACTCATGTGGAAGAGAAACCCACATGAATGAACACGTGATGGGTGCTGGACAACTGCAGCAGCTTGCGGTTCCCCAGCTCATATCCAAGGTATCTTGCAGAGTGCTTAGAAACATGCACCTCGCTTCAGATAGTGTGGTGTTCACTGGGAAACATGGGATGAACTAAATGTGAAATTCTCCTGGCACATCATATGTGAATAAGCCATTGGACGATTGAAATGATGGGGTAGATGTCATGCTGTCTAGCCCCATTTCTACACCCCCATTTTGAATTCAGCTGATGGCTTGAGTTTTATTTGTGCACTGAGAGAAGTATATGGATACTGATGGATAGTCACTTTTCTTCCACATTCTCCCAAGTATTATGTTGTTCCCTTTCAGTGTTCCCTTGCTCTTCCTGTCATGGTGTTTATTTTCTTAGCAGAAGCCAGATTCTTCTGTGTTAAATACCTTAATTACTTTGAGGTGTCATGTTACAAGGGAAAGCATTCATCTCAAAGGAGCCCTGCTCTATAAGAGAAGCGAGCAAGATTACTACCCTTTCAATCTCATCTCAGTCACTGTTACAAGCCAGAGAGGAATCAAAGCTGGTTCCACCATAGATATGAATATATTCCTGTCTCGTGGGGTTCGGTGTCATTTGCTGCTGCTTTGCTAGGATCAGTGCATTTGGGCGTTGATCATCTAGAAGTCTGGATTAAGATGTCAGTGTGGCTTGCAAATTGTGCAAAGAATCAGCTACTATGCGTAAGCAGGATCACTTACATATCATCAGAGCATTAGATGAGTTGGGAGCATGGATTCTTGTGGTTCTCATTGCCTGATTTTGTAATACATTTCCTACCCTTTTTTCTCTTTCCCTTCTTTCCTTCTCCCATAACCCACACCTCTTCCACTTCTCAGCTAAAGCTTACCACCCCGAGTTTTACTATGATACCCCTAACCCTACCAGGAAGCAGTCCAAGAACTACTCCTATGTCTTGCAGTGGACACAGAAGGAGCCCGATGCTGTTGACCCCATCCTCAGTTACCGGCTAGATGTCCGTCAGGTAAGACAACCTCTTGAACACCGAAATTCCACTGCTGGTCCATAAGGTTGCAATGTTAAAGCTGGAATATTTTCTGTCCTGCCTAGACCGAGATCTCATCAAAGTCCCCTTGCAGAGTGGGAGGTGCTGTTTTCACAACAGGGAGCATGGCCCATTTTGCAGAGCTCAGAAACCATTGTATGGTTTGGTCCTCATTTTAAAGTCTGATATTGTAAATGCTTGAGAGCTAAGAAAGCCTGCTGCCCCGCTTGGAAGTCTCATGCTCAGCTTTCTGAATAGAACTGTAACAGGAACAAAACCTTGTAGTCATTAGCAAGTATTGTGGGATTTATATGCCAGCAATTCAGATGAGTAGAACTTCAGTTTTTCACTTCTGAACAAATAAAGATTGCAAACTGGAGGACCCTCCAGGTTGCACCTGCAGGGGAAAGTCTTTGGCTGTTCTGTTTACATTGTAGAAAGACCTTCATCAAGCTGTCATAGTACTAATGGAATATTATCAAACTCTGCTGGAGGAAGGTATGAGACAAAAGGACCCTTGAGAATGAAAGGGAGTAATAAAGGATACAGTCAAGAGGAGGAAAAGAGTATTGCATGTGGCAGACTGTAGAAAGATATTTTGCATTGTTTGCAGATGTGAAAGTGTGTGGTGGTGTTTTCTGAGCCCAGAATTTAGAATCAGACATAGGATCAGGGACATCAAACATCTCAAGTTTAATTTCTACATTTAGGATAGGCTCAGGTTTAAGTTTTAGGCTGGTCAGGAATCTGGAGCTAGTGCAGAATGTGTCGGCTCAGCTGTTGTCAAGAGTGGCCCATTTTCAGCATGCAGCTCCTTTACTGGTGGAATTGCACTGACTGCCTCTTCTTAGCAGGGCCAGGATTAAGGTTTTAGTACTAGTGCACAAAGCTCTAAAAAAGATATTGGAAAGTGCCTTCTCCCTCATCAAATCGTCAAGTTACTGAGATCATCAGATGCGTGCGCCTGGTGCTTTCTCATGGACCAATGGCATGACTGAAGTGCAGACAGAGGAGAATCTCCATTCCTCTGGAACTCCCTGCCTCTGGAAATCACACTGGCACCAACACAGTGTTGTTTCTGGTGCCTTATGAAAATGCTTCATTCCAGAATGCTTTCTTATTTGACCAGCCTTTGTTTTATTAATACTTGTTAAATATTGTGTTTTACGGTTGTTGTAGGGTTTTGGTCTTTTTATGGTTCGTTGCTCCGGAATCTGTGTCGGTGTGGAGTGATATATAAATGTGGTAAATAAAATAAAACTAAATGCAGTTCTTGAAGTTAAGCAAGTTTCTAACAATAAAAGCTAATGAGATTTCTTTGGGTTAAATTGAAGAAACTGGGCATAATAGGATTAAAATACAGACTTTGTGCCTGCTTTTGTGAATCAAATTTCATATCTGCAGCAAAAGATATCCTTTCTGCCTAGAAGCCAGAGCAGCAAGATTTTTCCAGGGACTGGGGCTGTAATTCCTTTCACAGAAACATAGCAATTCAGAAGGGACCTCCCGGGTCATCTAGTCTGACCACTGGAACAAGCCTGCTCTGCTCATATAGTATCCAACATGGGGGTCTCCTATTTTTCCTTGAACACCCTCACTGATGGGCCCCCCACCTCCTGTAGAAGCCTGTTATCCCTGCTCTCCTGTAATCCCTACTGTAATAGACTAATATTTGCCTACCTTCTCACCTTTCTTTATATCAAGCTAGTCCTTGAGAGGCAGAAATGTAAAAAAATAAAACAGGGAAATGATTTTGGGTGATACCCAAGGCTTTTTGATACAGCAGAGGCTGTTGGTGAATGGAACAGTGGGGGGAAGACACTATTAGTTGATTGTCCCTTCCCTGACCAGGCTCCTGCACCATCCCTGATCTGCTCTGGGTGGATGGGGACCCCCCCAGAGCAGTGGAGTGGGGTGGCCAGAAGAGTTTGCAGAAATAGCCTCCTTCCCACTTCCACTCTGGATCACAGGACCTGCTGTAAATGGAACGACAGCATCGTATCCAGGCTTTCACAAATGATGAAAATGTACCCTTTTCTTGAAGCATCTAGGTCTGTGTTCTTTAGGAGGCCTCCCAGACCACGCCATTGTGCTCTGGAGGGAGAAGAGGCATTTTTTCTGACTACATATATTATTATTCCTGCTGGGAACTCAGATTGCATACATGACCACCAAGTGATTCAGCCATTCTAGGGTTTAGAATAGTTATGCTTGCCTATTCGTTTCTTTGGCTTTGCTTGAGACCAGATACAATTTTGTGCTTAGAAATGAACTTTAAATTCTACTTTTTGGTTAAACAAATTTCTCCAAGTCAAAAGGATGTATGATTTCACCCCAACCAGCTTACACCCCTTCTTGAAAATGCCTTTGGCAATTGTCACTGGGGGTGATGTTTGATCTATGTGCAGAAAATACCAGTTGTATGCCCAGATACTGGTCAAGCCCAAGATGAGAATAAAAGTTAATATTAGAAATTATTTTGAAATCTTACAAGCATATGTTATCCCAGAAATTCAGAGGCAGTGGTGAATCATTTGCAACTTACTTGGGACAATTACTGTTGTTTAAACTTTAATAGCCTATAACTATAGAGTACTTTTTAACTCAATTTAAAATATAGCTTAACTTTATTTTAGCTAGATACCGGCTTGGTTCTTGCTAAACAAACAATATGTATTGATATTTTACTATAAAGCAGGAGCCTCATTCTTGTTCATCCAAATTTAACTTTGAAATCCCAATTTGGTAATGCTAATAGAAGTCATAGGAATTTTCATTTAGACATATTCCAGCTAATCAAACTCATGTATTTGTTTGCATTTAACCATCTGGAATTAGTGCTACTGTATGTTTTAATTCTATTGGTAAGAAATCAGTTTGCCTTCAATCTTTGTTCTGATACAGCTATTGGCATCCTTAAAATTTTACACACATTTACACTGATCTCTGGTTAGATGATTGATTAATATCATATTGGAATATTTGGGACCAGGTTTTGGTACTCATCCAAAGACCAGAAAGCTATGGAGATCCAAAGCAACCATGCAACACATTCCATACTTCCCTGTGTGTGTATATAGCTTCCATATAGCCTGAAGTGCCTGATTCTGCCTAATCTTGGAAGTTAAGCAGGGTCAGGCCTGATTAAAATCTGGATGGGGGACTTAAATGTGAACTGCTCAGAGAGCTTCAGCTATGGGCAGTATAGAAATATTATTATTATTAATATTATAATAATAACATAAAATGATAATAATGAATATGCTGAGGGTGATATATCCATGGACAGAACTAGACAGAAACAGGATATTTGGGATTGAGGCATGGGTAGTTATCAGATGTAACAGGTAGGGATGGATGTCCGGCAACAGCAGGGGATTGCACCTGATGGCCTTCATGGCCCCTTCCAGGTCTACTGTTCTATGGGTCTATGATGTCCATGCGATGTGCGGGCCCACCGAGGTTCCCTAAAGTCTTTCTCAAAGCACAGGCAATCTAATTTGTGTCCTGAATGTAAGCATCTTTTTCTTTTCCTGGGAAGGAAAAATGTGCATTCTTTCAAAGCGTGTACCCAAACTTTGCACTTCCTTCCCATAGGATAAAAGATGAAAGTGTCCGTGTATGTGTGTGGGTGGGTGTGAGGAGGACATTTGTGCAAGTGTGCACTTCCGAACATGAATGTAAGATTGGGGAAATTTCCCAGAGAGTGTATTCCTGCTCACATTCAGGGTTGCCAATGGGGGCGGTTGCATGGTCTGCAAATGGGAACAAAGTTCTCAGAAATCCCAACTGCGCGTATATTGGACACCATGATGGTCTTGAGGCATTAAGTTGGACTGTCAGGCTGGTCTTTGCTCCATTGTGATTGTGTGATGCTAAATCTGAAGTTGACGGAGTGTCACTGCACAGTCTTATTCATAGGCGTCTAGAACATAAGGGCTTCCACGGGACTTTTTATTTCTGTTTTACTTCTTCATTGGGGATAATGCACACTGCATTAAAGTGATGTGCAAAGATGAGGATTTTAAGGTTAGTGTTTTTAAGGGAGCCGGAACAATTTCTGACAGTTAATGGGTTTGGCTGATGTTTGGAAGTAAAAGATTATTTACTTTATATAAAAGACGGAACTGTTTCAAAATATCAGAGCACCTCTGCCCTCAGAGTCACGCAGAATATAACCCTTTGTGCCTTCCTTTGCATGGCTCACTCTCCAGGGAAGGGCTTGTCTCTATATTGGTTTCTCATACAGCGCAGAGCACATCGTCCGTGCTTAACAAATAATAACAATTTTAGCAGGAGAGTACACAAGGGAGCCTCTTATAATGAAGGTACTTTGTCAAAGAGCAGCTTCACAATATGCTGAGATTCACTATTGCAATTTTCAATGAAGAGTGTGTAAAGATAAAGGCAGATTGCCTTCTGTGTGGGGCCGCTTGGCGGCTGGAGCCTGGAGAGATGGAGTGTGGTAGAGTCTCCGCTGAGTTCTGATGCTGGAAGGGAATCTGAGCGTGTGGCTTAGGGCACAGTCTGATCACCCCTACTCTTGCTGCACATAAGACAGCTAACTCGGGGGCTTCTGTGCCTCACCTCCCCCAAGCATGGCATGCGGTGATGAGCTGCACCGCTGTCACTGCTTGCACCCTGATTTTTATCTGGACGACTTTTTTCAGCCACCTAGATAAAGCACCAGGGAAAGGAGGGAAGAAGGCTGAGATGCCAGTGTAAATTCTCCATCCCAGCCTTCTCTCCTCCCTGGCCCTGCCAGCAAGCTCCGTTCCTCCCCGTCTGCATCTCTGCAGGAGCCATCTGTTGATTTTTGACAGTCTGCTTCTGGTTGAAGCCCAGGTGCTTCATTGTTCTGTAATGCAAGGAAGAGGGTGGGATTTAGGAAAGCGATTTGTTTTCTCCACTCATGTAATTCTGCATTGGCACTGGCAAACCCTTTCTTTTCCTAATATAGCTCCTTTCGTTCTGCCTCA